ATCCAACACTATGTCGTTATACTAGTAGGCGATTATCAGTTGTCTTATCGATTAACCACTAATTGATTAGCCAGATAGTGATTAGCCACTACGAAAAATACCGCTAACCGAAACCGAACCAATAAGAAATTATTGATTACCAGTTCGGTTATCAGCTAAAACCAATAACCGACTAACCGTTTACCTACCCTGGTATGGACTGATAATGAAAGTCTCATTTTCTATTAGTTTCAAAATATATCAAAGTGGATGTCATTATTGGGGAGAAATTTAGTAACCTTCCATAAATGTAAGTATAGGGTTATGGAAGGTTATGCACAACAAAGTTATGCAAAAGATTTGCGGCAAATCTAGTGCACAACCTTGTTGTGCATAACCATGCATAACCTGTCAAATCACCATTTATGGAAGACCTCTAGCATTTTTTCCCTATAAATCTTAATAGACTATTTCCCTTCAGTTAAGTTGTAATTGAATTTGAGTTAATTTTTTGCATAGATAAATCAGATCAATTGTGCCCTCAAAATGATATCCACATTGATATATTTTTTATAAAAAAAAATTGAGACATTTATTACCAGTCTATACTCTATACCATGATAGTAACGCTTGGTATTATATAAGTTCATGCCACGTGGCATGGAAGTGTACCATGATGGTATGAACAAACCAAAAGGTGTAGTAGTTGCATACATGGTAGTAGACATCTACTAATTGTATTTACGACATTTCATCATTGTTTACAACTAGGTACCACTCTATACTATGGTGGTATATTTTGGTCCTGAACATTTTCTCTAGAAATTTGTAGATCTAATAAATCACGATGAACTCGTTATTTCTATGCAAAAAAATTCAAAATTCGCGTTAAAAACAAAGGTGGTATATTTTGGTCCTGAACATTTTCTCTAGAAATTTGTAGATCTAATAAATCACGATGAACTCGTTATTTCTATGCAAAAAAATTCAAAATTTGCGTTAAAAACAAAGGTGGTCTAAAAAATTTCACGAAATATTTTGAAAATGGATCTTATTTTTTAATTCACAAATAACTTGTTCCATCTATATAAAAAATTTAGAAATCCAAATTATAACAAAGAAAATAAAAATAGATTAAAATTAGTAGGGAGAAAAATAATTATTTAATCTTGTTTCTTAAATCTGGGCCCCACTCAAATTAAAACTAAGGACGCAGATTTGATTTTGCAAAGTGGGTATAACCATACACCCTAACTTAAACCAACAACAAATCCTCTCCCAAAGAGCCTAGAGAGTAGAAGTCTAGAAGAGAGGGGAAATGATTGGGTGGATCCCTCTTTCCATTTATTTCTGGGGTAAATTGCATGGTAGGTCACTGAGATTACAAAAAACTTTTATTTTTTTCACGGGAAATATTTAATACATTCATTGTCACTAGATTTAGTAAAACAGTTCAAGTTTGGTGACTCTCCTTTACTCTCTGTTACCTTCCATTAACGGCGTTACTTTTTTACTGATGTGGCTAACAGAATCGCCTAAACGACCTATTTTAATCCCAAAAAAATGTAATATATAAATTGTCATATCATCAAACCCGCCACATCCATTTTCTCAACCCAACCCTTGACCAGACCATTCCCAACCCGTGACCCAACCTTATTCTCCAACTCTAACGTCGCCTCCCCCACCCTCTCCCCCTTCCCTTTCACATCGCCGGGCAAACCTGCCCGAACCCAGCAGGCAAATCACAGCGGAGCTTGTCGAGATTTTCTCTGGGACTACGTTTGGGAAGACGGAAAACAAAAAAGGATAAGAGGAAGGTGCATGAGTGGGAGGGTTTCTTATTGATTGGAATTTCCAAATCCAGTAATCGAAAACCCCCTTCTGTTTTTGCCTCCTCCTTCTATGTTCCTAACCCAAAATGGAAGAGGAAGTTGGATCCGCCGCTGCTGCAGTCGTGCATGCCACCGCTGCTGCTGCGCCTCCTCCCTCGTTGCGTTGGTGTCTGATTTGTCATCTCTTGTCGGATCCGATGACGAGAATCCTAGCCCACTCTGTTGATAACATTAAGGTACCAATAGGGGAGTTACATAATTGACTGCATTAGGGGGATGAAAGAGAGTTTTCGAAGCGCCGACATGGGAGAAGAGCGAAGATGGCGCCGGTAGAAGACAAAGTCTGAAGAAGAGTTCAGGGACTGGGTTGTCACTGCTCCTGCGTGCGAACTCGGATGAAGGAAATAGAGAATAGGCGGGTTCCTATTTGGGTATTTAGTAGGGAGGGAGTTGTGGGGCTGTAAAAGAAGCATTGAGATGGGCAGAGACTAGGGAGTTTGTGGCAGGGGTGAAGATCTCGACGGGGTGAAAAATGAATTCCGGCTCGGTGAGGAAGAAGTGGAAGGGTCAGGCTGGATCAAATAGAGGAACAAGTGGAAGGATTGGGTCACTGTTGGGTTGGCGTGAGTTGATGATGTGACGGGTCAAATATAACTTTTTTGGATTAAAATGGCTGACTATGTACTTCTGTTAGCCACGTCAGCGAATAACTAATGTCGTTAAAGGAAGCTAACGGAGAGTGACTAAACTTGAATTGTCTTAGTAAATCTAATGACCATGAATGAAGTTAAATATTTTCAGTGACCAAACATGAACGTTTTTTTAATCTAAGTGACTAAACTTGAAATGTCTTACTAAATCTAATGACCATGAATGAAATTAAATATTTTCAGTGATCAAACATGAACATTTTTTATAATCTAAATGACCAACCATGCAATTTACCCTTTATTTCTGGCTATGTATTTTACTTTCATTTTGCTTAATTAAATATAGTGGGAACTGGGAAGATGAGAAAGAAGAATTTGGGATCCAGAGCATAAATGGCAAATATGTTGTTGTTGACGACTTTTTTCCTTCTTCTCTTGGAATTTGACTTCAATCCTTGTTCAGTGTATTGATGCTTGTCCAATGAGAAACGGATTTGAAGATTCCTATTTGGTTTTTTTAAATACAATTTAATATCCAAACCTTTCATTTTAAACAATGTAATAGCCAAACCTTTTCGAAAACAATCTAATATCCAAATTGCCAACTTTCCGTTCGTTTAACCGTTAGTTGACACTTCAAAAAAGCTTTGTTAGGGAAAATTGTCACAATACAACTTTGTTTCTTGTTTTGGCATTGCAGATGACTGAATATTTAGATATTCTATACCATCACGGTGGAGTCATGGACTTCTCGGGTTTGGAACTACGATATGTTGGTGGTTTTCAGAGAAGATATCGATGGATATTGATGAAGTGTCGTACTCCGAACTTTTTTGAAGTGTCAACTAACGATCAAACAGACAGAAAGTTGATGATTTGGATATTAAATTGTTTTCGAAAAGGTTTGACTATTATATTGTTTAAAATAAAAGGTTTGGATATTAAGTTGTATTTACCTTTTTTTTTGTTATTAGTTTTAACTGACAACTTAATGGTTAAATATTATAGTTGATTGTCATCTAAAATCAACTTAACAGAATTGAACAACGACTGATCATTAAGAAAATGAGACGTAAAGTTAGTGACTATTAAGAAATGAAAATTCTGTGGTTTGTAAATGTGAAAAAAAAATCAGTGACCATGTAATTTACCTCTAAGTGACATTTGTCAGCTTTTTTATTTAGTTAATAAATTCATGGGTTTAGTGTTCACACTTAACTAATAAACTAACCAAACCAACTCACGCGGACCGGTCAGCTCAATATGATAAAGTGTGTCACTGTCACCAATAATGCTGGGTGTTGGGTGGGTACATTAAAATCCCCATTGAATAGAGAGAGATTTGCTGATACAGATTCGTGCATTTCCAGACACAGAATCGTTCTTCAGTCTATCTCCTTTCTGGTTATCTCTTCGACCCGGAAAATAAAAGACCATTGGATTGGATCTTGCAGTGGTCTCACCAATCTCCATCGTTCCTTCCCAACCGTACCGGAGAAATGATGGATGTAGACTAGAGAGAGTGGTGCACATTTAATCGGTGGAGGGTAAGGTTTACACTCTGGTAAATAATCTGCACATTCGATATAAGTTGAGGTGAAATTTTTTTGTAAGGTAATAAAGTAAATATAAGGGATGTAAATTAATGTTTGAATTATTATTTAAGTGAGAAAAATAATTTGGTACAAAAAGAAAGATAAATAATATATGTATATAAGAAAAATATAAGGGTCGTTTGATTTTGGTGATAGTTAAATCGATGTATTGTAATCAATGTATGCATAATAATATAAATGTATATAAAAAAACAGGTGTATTGTAGTTTACATCGTTTGATTTCTGTTATAGTTATTGTAGTATTTAAATAAAGTGTATCATTTTTTGGGTGAAATGTCACTTTTACCCTTTGTTTTTAATATAACAAAGCAACACACATAAAAAGGTAGAGACATATTTAGAAGAAGAAGAAAACACAACAATCTCCTTCAAACAATCTCAACGAAAACTTGAGATTTAACTATCACTCATTTTGAGTGATAGTTTGTGTCAAATCAATCTTAACATGTATTGCTTGCGCAGACAATTCAAAAAAACGATGTATTGTGGACATTGCATGCATTGTTACTACCCCAACCAAACTATCACCAAAACCAAACGACCCCTTAATGTAATAGTTATTATTATTATTATAAAACAATAAAAAAATTAAATAAACATAGCCCACCTCTCACTTCTTGGGTTAATTCCATAAATATTGCTTTTTTTAATTTACCATACTTATTGCGGATTAAAAACTATTGACACAAATATTGTGTTTTGTAGAGGGTTAGGAGCGAGCCCGCCCGAGACTCAGGCGGACACGCTTTTTGATTTTTTTTCCGACCAACTCGAGCGTTGGCGCCTCAGTCTGGGGCAATTTTGGAGACCAGAGCGGTGGCGCCCCAGACTGGGGCGATTTCGGGGGCGCCTAAGACTGGCAGGTTCGCTGCTTTGTCCACCACTCCAGCACTATAAAAGACGCGATTCCTTTCAGCAGCTCACACAAAAAAAAAATCGATCTCCTGTTAGACGAGAGAAGCTCTGGTTGCTGCAAAGATGGCTAATAGGTAAGAGAAACATTTATTTTTTTTACTTATATTCTTCAAATGTTGTTATGATTTTGTTTAGTAATTAGTGAGTTTGTTCTTTTATGTAGTGATTTTAGAAGATTTGAATTAGTCGTTCGGTGGAAATTGGAGAAAGTAGAGGATAATTTGGGCCTCCATTTCATTGGTGGTGAAGTTTCCAGATGACGTTGCCATCCAGGGTGACATATCACAAACTTTATGAGAATCTAATTCAGAGAATATGACGTAAAGATGAAGCAGTGCAAGATAGTGATGTGATCATAGGTTTCACTTGTTGTCTTCCAGAATGGTAGAATGGTGTTTTATTTCATTATGCGATGCCTATTGTGGATGATGATAGTTTGAATGCGCTTTGGAATTTTATGGCACAAAACCCTTATTGTTTAGGTGCTGAGATACATGCTGAGCTCAATGAGCATCAAGGTGAAGAGGAAGAAGATGAGATATGGAGCGTCCCATACGATCATGATGATGATCATAGAGAGGAGGAGGAGGAGGATGAAGATGGGGAAGGAGAGAAGCCTAATTATCCTTCCTATTTTTACTTGCAGGATAATGAGGAGGAGGACGAATTGTCATTTGCTGATTCATATGGCGTAGTTCCAATGCCTATGGTTGGTGGTTTTGAAGGAGAATTCTACAAGGAGCAGATATTTCACTCGAAACAAGCTGTACATGTGGCGATTAAACACCACGCACTACAACGCAACTTTCAGTATGTCGTGGTGTAGTCGTCAAAGAAAATCTGGAAGGTCAAATGCTTGAAGCACATGGAGGACAATTTTCCTTGGATGGTGCGGTTTGGAAGTCGAGATGTTGGAGGCGAATGGACTGTGAGAAAGGCCGAGATGGTGCATTCTTGTAGCTCTACGACTCAACCGACGGATCATCGCCATCTTGATGTCGACGTTATATCTGAGTCCGTGAAACATTTGGTACGTGCCCAACCTAATCTGAGTGTTCTAAGTAGAGGTGGCAATTGGATCGGATTCGTGGATTGGATTGGTGGATCCATGGATCAAATGGATTGGATCCAATGGATTGGTGGATTGATCCATGAATCCAAATGATATCCAAGGCTTGGACCAAAATGTAAAATTTGAAAAGTTTTGGTACTAAAATGTCATAATTAAAAATTTTAGGTACCAAAATGTAATTTTCCAATGATATTTTTCGTATAAAAATATAAATTTTAGGTACCAAAATGTAAAATATAAAAAATATAGGTACCAAATCATAATTTACCATTTGGATTCATGGATTGGTCCATGAATCCACCAATCCAATTGGATTTGGATCAAATGGATTGGATTTAAATGGATTGGATTAGGTGGATAATTTGGTGGATGGATTGGATTGGATTCATGGATTTGGATCCTAATTGCCACCTCTAGTTCTAACAGTGCAGGCCGAGTTGAAAGATAAGTTTAATATGCAAGTTACGTACAAGAAGGCTTGGTATGGGAAACAAAGAGCATTGGAGAAGTTGCATGGAAATTGGGAAGAATCCTACGATTATTTGTAAACATTCTTGCGGTTGCGGGTGGTAAAGAGAAAAATGCCTACATCGGTGATTGATTTGGTAAGAGTTCCTTCAGCTCAACCAGGTCATTTGATCTTTCAGCGAGTATTTTGGGCTTATGGATCTTGTATAGATGGATTCAAGAATTGTCCAGGAGTCATGGTTGTTGATGGAAATTTTCTTACTGGAAAGTATAAAGGAGTGCTACTGATGGCGAGCTCATTTGATGGCCGAAAGAAGATTATTCCAATAGCATTTTCCATCGTGGAGAACGAGAATACTGAAAGTTGGCCATGTTTCATAAGTCGCGTTCAAGGTTTGATCGATCGAAATGATGTATGCATTATCTCAGATAGACATGCGGAACTCTATCAAGCCGTGAGTGACATCGGAAGAGGCTGGGAGCAATGCAGTCAAAAGCGCGATTCTACCTAGAAGCGGAAAAGGGATAAAATCGTAAAGCGTAGAATCAAAGCGTAAGTTTTTGACGCATACTGAAAAATAACTTAAAATCTATTAGGTAGGACATATGCTATGCAAAATATGAATGCACAGATAAGTTAATAAATACATGCGATTCATGCCTAAAGTAGAACAACTTATAGCATCTTAATAATAAGTTCGTAAACATAAATTTTAACAATAAGCCACTTTTCCCTCTATGCTAATGAATTTGGGAAAAGCCTAGCTGGTGAATTATATTACTCTATTGAAGTTGAGAATGCATCCAAGTACCTGATATGTATCTTCTAATCTCAAATGTATCATATTGTTGGTGATTTACTTTTAAAATATACTTTTTATAATTAATTTCATGAAAAGAATACTCATTTAGTGAACTAAAATCGTAAAAACATAAAGCGTTTTGGTGAACTACAAGCGTAAAACCGTTAGCTTTTAAGCTTTAAAGCGCAAGTTAGTCCGATTTTATACACCTAAGTTTTTATATGGAAACGAAAGCGTTTTGGTGACCTAAAAGCGTAAAATCGTAAGTTTTTAAGGTTTAAAGCGCGATTTTGACTGCATTGGCTGGGAGTAGAGGTGGTGCATGCGACGCATGACTTAGAGTTTATATGCCCTTTCCTGTGTTCTAGTTTGCCTTGACCTTTTCATGAAACATAGAGTTTTTTGTTCTCCCGGTTCTAATATATGTTACTTTTGAAATGGAGGACAAGAAATTGATAACTGATATATGTTATGTCAAAGTTAAACGAAGTTTTCTTGTTTATTATTATTATTGTCCTTGTGACAACATTATACTTATTAGTATTGTCCTTATTTGTGTACATATAATAAATGTTGGGGGCATGAGAAGGCCCAACAAGCGGTCTTAGAAGGCCAAGCCCAATTTGAGGGGTAAGCCCAATGGAAGGAGATGCTAGCCCAATGGTGGCAGGAGGATAGGCTGGAGAAGTGGGCTCGGATTCTGGCACAAAGCGCATGAAGACAAAATAGCTAACGATAGGAAGTGTACGAAGGGAGTAGTCTATGAGTTCATGCGCCCCAAACCTCAGAATTCGGTGTCAGATGGTCGAGGCGCCTGGTTGTGTGAAGGTATAGTGCATTTAATAAGGTGATGACACGGAGCGGATTTGGGGGGCAACGGTCGACAAGGCTCCGAGTATAAATAGTGGAGTTGGTGAACCTCATTTACTCAGGTTGGGACTTCTCTCTCTACCCATATTTACTGCTCTTTCTAAATATCGGGTGCTAACTTGATCGTCAGAGTGCTAACGAACCTCGAGGGTCCACTAGGCGCTTTGGGTGCAGGTTTCTAAGCGTCGCGAGGGCTCGAGAGTGAAGGAAGGTGCATCGTTAGATCAATCGGAGTCTTAGGGCGCATAGCTCGAGCGGGTGAGGAACTTGGCTCAAACAATTGGCACGCCAGGAAGGGGGATATAACCAGGAAGCATAAAAGCGCATAACGCTACAATGGGGGAAATTGAGCGTGAGTTGTCGGAAGGAGTCACAAGCAAACGCAACTATGGATGTGGAGAATGAGAGTATGAGCCTTAAGGGGGAAGAAGGTGCTCAATCGGGAGACGCCTCGTGCACGAAGGAGGATTTGATTTAGATCATCGAAAATCAGGATCAGGCATTCCCTGCGGTTCCCCATCGAGCGCCTCGTCTTCCGGCGTTCCCTCACCTTCCTCATCGGGCGCCTTGTCTCCCTCTAGCGATGGCACGTCCAATCCAACGATTGGCTCCAAGTTGCTGGCCTTGCAGTCGTTGTCCATGAAGTCCAGGATGTATTGGATGAGCACTAAAGAGTGCCACTCCACTTCAGGATGATCCTCACTGAACTTGAGTTGAAGTATTTTGACCTTGTCAATCACGGTGTCAGCTTGGAGGTTTCTACCCACGTCTGATAGATGGAAGTTGATCAGATCCGCGGATAAACGCGCCTTGGCCGCACGGGACGCCTTCAAATCCTTCTTGTATTGATCCTTTGCCTTCTTCTGTTGAGTTCCTCGGAGATCATGGGCGCCTTGTCATGTAGGGTGTCTCTCTCCTGCTGAAGGCGATCCCGTTCAGCAACCAATTCTACTTGCCTCTCGGGCAGCTCTTGCTCGACCCTCTCCATCTCTGCCGGAAGCTTGAGCATCGAAATGCTCTTGGCACTCGCGCTCCACCTCTGCCTTCACCTTCTCGCGCTCAGCTTCGAGCCCGTTGTTCAACTTGGCAGCCCATGTCTCAGCCGCGGCTTGCGCCTTGTCCCGAGCACTGGTTAGGGACTCATGCTTTTTGCGGGCGGAGGCTAAGTCTGCGCGGAGGCGCTCAGCATCGGAGCTAACAGTGGCATTCTCCTTGATCAGCTGATCGGACTCCCGAACGGTAGACTCAATCAACATCATCATCTAACACGCAAAGTATGTAAGAGTTAAGGGATGGTAGAGTGAAATAACCAAGGAAAGGCAAGGATCACATGCATAACACACATAAAGCTCAAAAAGGCATAACTAAACGGGGGCGGACGCCTTACCTTCACATTTAGATTGGCCATGGTGCGCAATGGTCGCGCCGTGTTGAGATGGTCTGGGCGCTCAATCACGAGTGCGTGAGAAAGCACCATATGCATAGAAGCGCCTGGGTCCTTGTCTGCCTTCACGGGAACGCCAACGTCGACCTTCTCTAGGGGGCGCCTCGGAGGCTGAAGGTAGGGAGGCAATGTTTGACCCGTGTGTTCCTCGACGGAGGGTATCACTAGGCATGCTGTTGGGAAGAAGACATCTCAGGAGGAACGACAGAGGAAAGCACAACGTTGAAATACAAAAAAGGGTTCCTAGGTCGCGGCAGAGGAGCGGCTTAGCAGAGTATTCTAGAGAGAGGATGCTTTTGACGGAATGAATAAGAGAGGGTAGGTCGAAATATATAGGTGGAAAAAGAGGGAGGGGAGGAGAGAGGGGACGGGAAGTCGAACCGACAACCGGTTTGGGTGGCATTTGAATTTTGAATTTCATAAATCCCATCCAAACCGGGGAGGTAGGAGGGAATAGACACAACGATCGAGGCGGAAGCCAAAGGGGCGGAAACTGAAGGAGCATCATTATTGACAAAGACAAGAAAAGAAACTAAAGAAAAAGAGAAAAGAAGAGAGAGCAGGCGGCCGGCGAGGGTACGCAGAGGGGGAAACACAGTGGAAAAGGAAAAAGGGGAAACGCGAGGCGCACAGACAAAAAGTCAGGGAAGAGAGCGCGCAAAGCGCCCGAGTAGTCAGGGAGGAAGGAGGCGCAGTGGAAAAGGGTTCTAGCTAGCCAGGAAAGAAAAAGGGGGAAACGCGAGGCGCATGGCCAAAACGGGAAAAAGGGGCGCCTTGGACAAGAAGTCGGGGAGAGGCGATGGAGTACTAGTGCCAAATTAAGACAGAAGAAATAGTAGGGCATATAGGCATAATAGGAGATGCACAGATCATGGAGGGAGAGCATTCCATGAATGCCTACCAGGTGTGAAGGCAACACGTCTCAAAGAGGGGGACACCGAACAAGTGCACGCAATTGGTAAAAGGGGGGCGTTTAGAGACACACGATGGCAGTTAGGCTCCTACTCAAGGCGGTAGGTGCCTAACTGGGGGGCAATTGTTGGGGGGCATGAGAAGGCCCATCAAGGGGTCTCAGAAAGCCAAGCGCAATCCGAGGGGTAAGCCCAATGGAAGGAGTGCTAGGCCAAGGGGGCAGGTGGACAGGATGGAGAAGTGGGGTCGGATTTTGGCACAAAGCGCATGAAAGACAAAATAGTATATCGGTCGGAAGTGTACGGAGGGCGCAGTTTATGAGGTCATGCGCCTCAAACCTCTGAATCCGGTGTCAGATGGTCGAGGCGTCTGGTTGTGTGAAGTTACAGTGCATTTAATAAGGTCATGACGTGGGGCGGATTTGGGGGGCAACGGTCGGCAAGGCTCCTAGTGTAAATAGTGGAGAGGTGAACATCATTTACTCAGGTTGAGACTTCTCTCTCTACCCATATTTACTTCTCTCTCTAAATATCGGATGCTAACTTGATCGTCGTAGTGCTAACGGACCTCGAGGGTCCACTAGGCACCTTGGGTGCAGGGTGATAAGCACCCCGGGGGCTCGAGAGCGAAGGAAGGCGCATCGTTAGATCAATCGGAGTCTCAGGACGCATAGCCCGAGCGGGTGAGGAACTTGACTCAAACAATTATAAACATGACAAACAAATGGAAAATGATATTAAGGTAATTTTTGACATGAAATTCTAAATTTCAAATCCTTAAATTCATGATCAAAAGCATATCAACAAAACAAAGAATGGTTTCGAATCCACAACCCCTCAAATCCTTTATAAATATTAAAATTTTCAAATCGCAAAATTCACATTTTTTAATCCACAAAACAAATAACCGTAAAAAGCTCTAAATTATAGTCCAGCAGCAATACAGCAATTGATTGTGAATAATGCAGTTTGGCCGATAATGGTATTTTTGCCTTTTAAAAAAAATAATTATACGCTATTTTTGTTAATGTTTTGGTTTCCCATCAATGTGTGGTCCTGTAGTAGTACCGCCTACCAACTACACAACCCCTACTAAATGCAGCTGCCTCCCGCGGTCCCGCGGCCGGCCGCGGGCCGCGGCCACCCGTATTCACTATTCAGTATACGAGAACGATGGCTTCCTTTACTTGCCGGGCCGATGCCATGTGAAATCAAAACATCGGCGGTCTGCTTCAAGTTTCAAACACTTCGATAATGGATCCATACCTACCGTGCAATTAGGGTATCTAGACAGAGCCCATAACAAGTGAGACCCGCTTCTCTATCCACTATCCTGACATGCAATTTATTTGCTGGTTTACTAAATGTGTACTGAAGGCAAAGTGTACCTCCTCCAATGCAATAATGCAAGGAGATCTAGCGTTTTACTCGAACATGAGTAATTTGGTTGGATGTTGATTATTAGTATTTTTTTTTTCAGTTGAATTGATCCAACGAGATATATCTCTTTATTTTTTGAAATTCAAATTTTTTAACATAAAATTAGAGTAATCAAGTTTTTTTTTTCAAAATTAATTTCACTTTAATATGTTTTGAAACAAAAAATTGAGACATATATCAACCTATAGTCCTCCGTCATGGTAGAAATGCTTGATATTATATAATATTATATGATGGTGGTATGAAAGTGTACTAAGATACGGTGGTATATTCATATCATCGTATATAATAGTTGTATATGCATTTCCTCAAACATATTGCGAACTGCTATCTAATGTATGTTGGTGTACAACGGAGAAAAATGCATGCATTTAAAACACCTAAAATATCTAAATGACCTCATGTTTATTAAACAATAATTTGTAGAATATTCAACTATTAACATTACGATGTAAATTCATTGTCAAAATAAAATAAAATAATCAAGCGGCTATATTACTCAAATATAACTCTAAAGAATTGGTATAGTGATAATATGAAAATGATAACATCCATACTAGATTATGAATTCGATGCTAATCACCACTAACGAAAAACATAATACTAAAAAAATCAGTGTTATTAAAGTCGAGCCGAGTCGCTCGGCCCGACCGGTAAAACCGCCACCCGGTCATAAAATCGGCTCGGAACAGTCTAAAAGCCGCTCCGATTTTATGTAGCGGTTGACGAGTGGTCGAGGGGTTAACCGCTCGAGCCGCTTGTCCGGTTTTTTCCATTCAACAGTTAAATTTAATTAAAAAATGAAGAACATTGAAAATAAATAAACCAAGAATGTCGGGCTCTCAAACTGAATCCTTATTTCCATTTCACAATTTCGAAAGAAAGAGACGAGCTCTAATGAAGAAATGTCCACTATTTATACTAATAATGTTTATTAGGTACCGATTCTCTAACAGTTTTTAAATGGTCTAATACCGGTTGGACCACAAAAGCACAAATCGTTCGTATTACCGGGTCATGCTCCGATTCGATTATGATAACATTGCAAATACAATCCAAAACCGCCACTATATCTTTCTCCATAATTACCGGGTCGGGAAAAGGGAATATTTCGAAACCACCAATAAAGTGATTTTTAGCTGACAGGATGTGATTAGGATAACTCCGATATTCCACATAGTTCAGTTCTCACATATTTTTAATTTATTGAATTTTACGTGTCAATTATTTGCCAATATTCCGATTTGCTAATGCACAGTTGATTGTTTTGTTGTAATAGTTATAATGTATGTATTGTATACAATATATTGTTTTTTTTTTAATTTTATGTACAAACAATACATACATTGTTTGCTTGGAATTACACAAACTATGATTTTATATCGTGACGGTAATACTTGATAGCACATAAAGTTATATCATGATATTGTGCTGTTGTAGTACAAATATACTAACCACCATATACTGGTTACTACGATTTCACATTGTATACCATCCTTCGCCACCAAATATCACCTTGATATAGGTTGGTATATTGATCCACAAATATACAAATAAATAACTAGCTTCCCACCTACCTACCTTAGGTCTAAGGGGTCGTTTGCTTGTTGGATTTGAAAAATAAGGGTTTTGGCTCAAAAAAACCTTTGGATTTATGAGGGATTTGTACCATCATGGATTTGAAGAGTCTATTGTTTGCATGATAGATTTGATGATATAATTATGATGGATTTGCTGTAAATATAACTAGCCATCAAGGATTTACAAATTCCACCCCAATATGTGGGATTTACAAGTTCGTGGGATCCACGGATTTGGATCCAAAAAAGGGAATAAACCCCACGGATTTAAGACAACAAACAATGGACTTGGCTAAAATCCATCATGCTTGAGATTTGAGTCCCAAATCCATGACCCTGACCCAAATCCATCAAGCAAACGAACCTAAGTATAACCCAAGAGCCAAGATGCATGATTTGAGCAAGTTTTGGTCCGTACATTTATATTTATACTACTATCTAATAACTAAGTTCAATTTTACTAAGAATACTCAGAATACACTGGATTATTATCTAATACACCACAATACTAGACTATTTGGCCTATTTATACACGGCTACCATTCGCCACAATTCTCACAAAAGTATCACCCTTCCTCACCAAGGAAACCCAAACCAAAAACACTCAAACATGGCTTCCTTCGCCAGTTTCACCGCTCCATCCGCCGCCAGGACCGCCGCTTACCCCAAAACCCCGCAACTCTCCGCCGCAACCAAACCACCAACCCACATTTCCCACCACTACTCCTCCCCAGCCGGCCACCGCCGCAGGACCAGACAACCACTCCACATCACCTGCGACTCCACCGCCCCAAACAACACCCCCGTCCCAGACAACCACTCCCCCACCTCCCGCCGCGACCTCCTCCTCGGCCTCGGCGCCGGAGCCACCACCGCCCTCACCCTCGACCCCTTCTCCGCCGCCCTGGCCCGGCCCGTCCGCGGGCCCAGCATCGAGGCCTGCGTGCGCGCCACCGCGGGGGACCAGACATTCGCATGCTGCCCCCCGTCCTTCGCCGGGGTGGACATCCAGGACTTCCAGCTCCCGTCCGCCTCGGAGCCCGTCCGGATCCGCCGGCCCGCCCACCTGGCGGGCCTGGACCCGGTCTGGCTCGACAAGTACAAGCGGGCCATCAAGGCCATGCGGTGCCTCCCCAACGACGACCCGCGCAGCTACGTCCAGCAGGCCCGGGTCCACTGCGCCTACTGCAACGGCGCCTACGTCCAGGCCGACGACACCAACAAAGGTCTCCAGATCCACTACTCCTGGCTCTTCCTCCCTTTCCACCGCTACTACATCTACTTCTACGAGCGCATCCTCGGGAAGCTCATCGACGACCCGACTTTCGCGCTCCCCTTCTGGAACTGGGACCACGAGGACGGCATGCCCATCGCCGACATGTTCAAGGACACCGAGTCACCCCTCTACGACCCGCTCCGCAACCCGGCCCACCAGCTGCCCACTTCCCTGCTCGATCTGGACTACAACAAGAGACAGCCCGCGGTCCGGACCAAGGACGAGCAGGTTCGGGTCAACTACGCCGTGGTGTACAACAACATGGTGTCCGGTGCGAAGAGGAGGCTGGAGTTCTTCGGGGCAAAGTACCGGACCGGAAGTGCGGTGCCCGTGAGGCAGTCTTCCGGGTCGTGTGAGAATCTTCACAACCCGGCCCATATCTGGGTCGGGGATTCTAGCCGGGCCCTTGGGGAGGACATGGGTAATTTTTATTCTTCGGGGCGGGACCCGCTGTTCTATGTTCACCATGGGAATGTGGATCGGTTGTGGAACGTGTGGAAAACGATTGGGAAGTTCCGGTTCGACTTCGATGATTATGACTACCTCAACGCGTCGTTCCTGTTTTACGACGAGAATGCCAAACCGGTTCGGGTCAAGGTCAAGGACTGTCTGGACAACAAACTCATGAGGTACGTTGCGTTACCTACAAATGGAAAGCTTTCACTTTTTATTAAGGCAGGCGATCGTACGAACTACGAAGAGAAAGTTTTACAAATGAAACCAGACGTTGATGCATGGTAACCGAGTTAAATTGAAAAGCTTAGATTAAATGAAAGGAAAAGTAAGTACCCAAGTACAGCAGTCCCGACCCAACACATTAGTTAAGAACCATGGATGGTTGGTTGTAGCTGTTTGGTTCAATATTAATGACCTTCTACTTACATTATATATTAACGGAAAAAACAGTTAATGATCTCGTTCTAACCGCTTCAGAAGTTCATTATTTTACTTGGAAAAATATATGAATCCAATCATTTGTACAAAGTTATGTTGTTTAATTAGTATCTGAACATTTATTAAAAAAAAAATATATATTGTGAACTCCAGGGTTATAAGAAAATATTTTTTAATTTACATATCTGAATGTTTATACGAGACTACACTAAGTGGTCGTGTGGCAAGTATGAGATATTGTCCTGGATTCCCAGAGAATGAACCAGGATTAACGGTTTGGACCCATCCAGTTTCAAAGTACAAGCCAATGTGTCCAGAACATTGGAGAGTTAAAATCAAATTTGGTGGGAACCAGAAGTTTTGTTGTTTTGTTAACCCTGCCAGAAAAGGATGATCAAAGTTTGGTATATATTGTTTTCCAAGACTTTTACTATTTTAATACGAATATATATATAGCATAACAAGGCCTGCTTTCCAAACACTATATTTGATATTACATGAAACTACACAAATTTGTTTTTTCATAAAATGAATAATTTTCTTCTAATGAAAATTGTTTTACTAGTGTATGATAAATTTAAAAAAAAAATTTATAGTAAAAAGAATCTATGAATTAAATTGTGGAACAAGTAGGACCATTGAGTGTGAGTTCGTGTCTTGTCAGATTTTCCAACATGAATGCGTCTGCTGTGCTCCTATCCTATCTTACCTTTCTCCATTAACTTTCTTTTCCCGCACTTCAATAATTCCCTCGACAAATTACATACCACTACCCAAAATTCTTTGTGTTAACACTCTTGCTGCTTCGCGAAACCTCTCAGGTACGACTACGAGGAGCGTCCCCTCCCATGGAGGAACTTCCAGAAAACCCCGGCCAGTTCCGCCACCGTAGCCAACATTTTTGGCGGCGAGAAGGCGGCCAACGCGGCGGAGGCTCCGGCCGTGGAGCTGACCCCGCTGACCGAGTTCCCGTTGGCGCTGGACTCGGTGGTGAGCGTGTCGGTGGCGAGGCCGAAGAAGTCGAGGAGCGCGGCGGAGAAGGAAGCCCAGAGCGAGGTCCTGGTGGTGTACGGGATCGAGCTGCAGGGCGACAAGGTGGTCAAGTTCGACGTGGTGGTTAACGACGACCCGGCCAACCCTAGCGGGCCCGACAAGTTCGAGTATGCCGGCAGCTTCCTCAACGTGCCTCACGACTCCATGAAGTTCGCGACCAACCTCAGGCTGGATATTACCGATCTGGTGGGCGATATCGGAGCTGATGACGACGATGAGCTTGTGGTGACGTTGGTGCCTAGGGTTGCTGATGGGCCGGTGACCATTGCCGGAGTCAGGATTGAGCTCCAGAATTAGAGATCTGATGAGGTGGATTAGTTCTGTTGAAGTGTAGTTACTCTATGTCTCTCGATGGGTTGCGGGCTTAATTAAAGTAGGATTCGGCTTATTATTAAAATAATGAACCTACCTAAGTCTCATTGTCCCCAATCGTATTGGGTTGAATTAGGCGGTCTAGCTTTTAATGTGGTTTGGTTTGCTTTGAATGAAGAGGGGATGGATAACTGTGGTGAGTTATTTAACTTTGAAGTTGAGAGTATTTTCTATGTATTAAATAATTTGATGGATGGGTTAGCATGTGGACCTTTCCATCCGCCATTCATTTAAATTTTAAACGTTAGATAATGGTACTGTCTAAATTTAATTGAGTATTTGCGAAAGAGACCTTAAGGGCCAAAGGTAGGGTACATAAGTATGGGTATGTACTAAGGAAAATTTTATAATGCTATATAGTATTGGTGCTATAGGTTTTTGCCTTTATGGTACAAATTAAAATTGTACATTTACGTTATGGTATAAGTTCAGATTGTACCTATACCTTTTATACAAATTCTTTTATGATACAACTTAAACTTGTACCTTTATGTGATGGTACAATTTCAAGTTGTAAAGTTGTACCATAACATAATGATACAAATTGCTTTATGGTACAATCTAAACTTATACATTTAATGTTATGGTACAACTTTAAGTTGTACATTAAAGCACCAATGCTATATAGCATAGTAGAATTGCTCATGTACTAATCAATAACTAAATTTTGACCATTTATTTAGAAAATTCAAATCTAAGGATAGGGAATTAAAGGTCATTTTTATTTTCTCTAGCTTTCTTAATCGGCTCATATCTTCTTCGTTTTAACTCGGATTTTTTTTTGCACAGATGGAACAAGTTCGTTGTGCTCTACAAAATGAGATATATTTTCAATATTTTTTGAGAAAAAATTCTTGCCTCTCGGTACCAGCTGCATACCATATGGTATATTCTTCGTTTTTAATTCGTTTTTGAAAACGTTTGCACAAAATGAACGAGTTCATCATGATCTATTGGATCTACAAATTTCTGGGTGAACAAATTACAAGACCAAAAAATACCACCCTGGTATCGGGTGGTATCTTGTGGTACACAATGTTAAAAGTCGTAAATGACAGTTAATATACTTATACTATCATGTATTCAACCATCCTACAGTCTTGGTTTGTTCATACCACCATAGTACGCTTTTCAAACCATAGGTATGCTCTTATTCTAGTGCAGTTGGTAGTTTGATGTATGTTTGGCATGCACTAGACCCTGATCTTGCACATGTTGTTCGTGTTGTCAGCAGGTTCATGATACAACCTGAAAAGGAGCACTGACATGCTATGAAGAGGATCTTCCAGTACCTTAAGGGTACATCTGATGTGGGGATTGACTTCGGAAGTGATACGAAGTGCTTAGTGGCTGGTTATTCAGATTTTAACTATGCTGGAGTTGTTGACACGAGAAGATCGATGACTGGTTATGTATTCACTCTTGGAAGTTCTATAGTGAGCTGGAAGGCAACTCTATAGTCGATGGTGACATTGTTTACTACTGAAGCAGAGTACATGGCGATGACAGAAGCTGCTAAGGAAGGAATATGGTTGAAGGGGCTGGTTGATGATCTTGGTCTATATCATAATCAGGCAGTGGTGTATTGCGACAGTTTGAGTGCAATATGCTTGGCCAAGGATCAAGTCCACCATGAGAGGACTAAACACATCTATGTGAGGTATCATTTCTTGAGGATAAAGAAGAGGATTAAGGTGAAGAAGGTTGGCACCGCGAATAATCCTGCTGACATGTTCACGAAGCCAGTTCCACGTGGCAAGTTCGAACACTGCTTGGACTTGCTGAATGTCTTGAGTGGGTGAATCCGCCATAAGGGGCATTGATGGCAGGGGGAGAGAAGGATCAGAGTACATCAGAGATTTCAGAGAAAGAGGGTTCAAGTCAAGGTGGAGATTTGTTGATGTGACTTCAATCAAACTATCAGCCGCTACGATTGGAAGTCACGGGCCGAGATCTCGCTGTTCGGTCAACAAGTGTTTGCCCCTTGGCCCACGATGTATGGGCTAAATGTTATTTGGATTTGTGTTATGGGCCTGGTCTGTAATTGCTTTTTCTTTATGAGATTCGATTAGGTTGGACCTAGGGGAAGTACTATAAATATTTCTCATACCTCTTAGTTATCTATATTTCCTAGAAGTATAGTGAAACTGGCTCTCTCCTGCACATGGACTAGCTAACACACATTGTGTTAGTGAACCACATAAATCGTGTGTCGTGTGTGTGCTTTCGTTTTTTTTTGTCAAATCCTCGAATTTCCCGATCCGTAGAGAAACAATCGTGACACTTTCTTTACCAAATGAAGGCCATGTTTTGTACCAGCCATAGCTTCCCTACTACGCAGCATACCCAACTCGCCGGATCTGGAAAGTCCTCTTAACAATAGAAAATTGAGATGAGAGAAAAACTAAACTAACGATATTTGAGTCTTTTTTATAAAAATTATGACGACGAATAATGTATTTTTGGGCGACGAATATAATTAACAAAATAAAATAACAAATTTTCCTACAGGTACACATAATTTACCCCAATATTTAATTAATCAAATAATTCCTATTGTCTCCAATCAAATACTAAAATCAATTCAAAACAATAAATTTCTCAAATAACAGAAAAAGAATAGAAATTCGATTATAATCATGTTTCTGTCATTAAGCCAACTATTATTACACAGTGTTTAAGATAATATTATTTCCACTTTCATTATCATTGGCTTGCATGCCAATGTTAACAATGAAGGGTCGTTTTCACCCTTTGTGTAGAAAATGTCGGAAATAAAAACGTGCAGGAAAGGAAGAAAAGATGGCCGGTCGGTGGATCTAATGAAAGCCATATAGTCCATAGGAGAAAGAACGAAAAAGTCCTATCCTATCTTATTTCGGTTTCTCTTTTTCAGGCCTGATTGAAGCCGACGTACAACAACTTTTTTTTGAGGAAATGTATTGATATATTCAACTTTATGGATTTTGTCCGTGGGTAGGTAAGGGTAGGTTTGAGAAGTGAAATGCGACAGCAGAGCACCATTCCCTACCTGCGGACCACACAATGAAGATAATATATGTTTGTTTATTCGAATTAAAACCATATTTGTCAAAGAGGTGGAATGCCCGCATATGAAATTGGGTTTAATCGGTATTCTCGGTATGATTTACATGATCAATTTCGGACCTTTAAACCAAATAACATCATCTTAGTGAATTTAGTTAAAAAAATAATTTATAATTAATTTAATTAATTTGAAAGTTAAATATTAATGTTATTTGTGAGTTAAAGTATAAATTCTAATTGGGTGTTGATGTGTTTTTAAATATGAGCATGAGTTAATTTGTTTGATTTTGTATTTTATATACATACGGAAGTCGATTGTAAGAAGATTTTCTTGAGATATGATTTATATATGGTTAAATTCATTTGATATTAATGGTTTGTCCTATTTTCTATATATTTTGTTAAAAAATCGATATAAACTGATTGTACTCTGGTTATACCATACCACTTGCTATACCGCCACAACAATATAAATCGGTTTGACAATCTTGATTAAAATCATGAAGTCATTTGATTTTGGTTATGAGTATACATGGATCGGGTGGATCAGATTTAGTCTTTTAATCACTCGACCTACACACTTGGATGTTGAAAACACTAAATCCAAATTCACCCAAAAAAAATTAAAACTCTACAATTTGTTTATGATTGGTTTGGGTAGGGTTGGGTGGACTATACACTTAAGTAAAACCTAACAGAAGAAAATGAAACTATTTTTAACCATAAAAGGAGATTATGAAACCTCCACCAACACAAAAGAGATGGTTTTGAAAAAAGAAAACACTCTCCCAACATCCAACCTTAATTTTAATGGTAAAACTAGTGGGTTGGGTCGGGTTTGACGAGTGGGTCGGGTTACAGTACATTTTGTTCACGCCTATTTTTTGTGATAGTTTGGTTGAGATGGTTACAACAACGCTTATATTTTTCACAATGTATATTTTTTTTTCAATTTATACATAAACAATAAAAACATTCTTTACTTGATGTGACCGAAATTATAACTCAAAATGAGTGATAATTTGATATCATATTTTATATGAGATTATTGATGTATTTTAGATGCTATTGTTGCATTTTTTATTCCAATTATATCGCTAATTTTTTTATGTGTTATTTCTTTACATTAAAATAAAATGGGCAAAGTGATATTTATTCCAAAAAGGAATATAACTTATTCAAATATTAAAATAATTTTAACAAAACCAAACAATGTAAATTACAATATATCAATTTCCTTATTATACATGTATTATTCCCAATATATCAATTAACTAAAAATAAAACCAAACCACCTATTATTATTATCTCTTTTATTGCTTGTATTGTAGGTTAACACTTATGTTTCTAGTCTCTATCATCGTGCGTGGGTTATTCATTCGTGCTTATTTTATTTTACAAAGAAACAAGGAAGTCTTGATTATTATTGAGAATTCAGATATCAACCAAACTCACGATCATGAGTATCCGACTCCCCTAATATATGTTTTATTATACATATTCTTCTCCTTACAGGTTTCTGTAACAAAAAAACATATTCTGCTCCTTTTTTCTCGATCATTTTGTGACTATTTTTCTTGAAAATGCACTACCATTTGCCTGTTCTACATTAGATTGTGTTCTTTTGTTATATTTCAAGTCCTAGAGTGAAGCGAAAGGTTGGGAGCGAGTTCCGAAACATTTGGAGGTAAAGAAGAAGCAAAAAATTACCCACAATGATTCTCATAATACAATCCAAGAAGGAAACAGATCCATCACAAATCTAGGGTATTTCAAAACTTAGTAACATATTGAAAATCCTTTCCAACGGTCTGATTTGCTCATGACGACGTTTTCACTCCAAGAAGTGATTGACTGTTGTGCCGTGTCGTTTTGGCCATTGAGTCTCACTTGACAAGATGATGTCGATCTTATTCCCTTTTCAGCTACACTTGTCTTTTTCGCCAAGCATGTAAAATTTCCTTTCCAAGCTACCATACAAACTTGTAATGGTGCTTGTCTTCTTCTATTTTGTCCAACCTATCAAAGGAAAAAACTGCAATGAGAATCACAAGTTTAGGGTTTCAATTCACTCTCTACTTCGTTGTTATGGTATCAGAGCCTGGAATTGAACCCTAACAGCCGCTTTCATTTTCTATGATGCCACAACCTCAACCAACGCAGCAAGAAGCTGTTGTTGTTCTTCCAGTTGATCCCTTGTCTGATCCTTTCTTCCTACATGGCTCCTGGACACGCAACAATGTTATGGTTCTTAGCTGGATCCAACAATCCACTTCTCTAGAAATCAGGAAACCCATACTCATTAGGATTGATGAGCTTGAAGAAGCCCTTTCAACTCTTCATCAAGGTAACCAAACGATTACATAGTATTATGGTCGTGTCTTAACTCTTACGGATGAGCTAGAGGACTATCAACCTTTGTTGCCTTGTGCCTGCACACCTACCAGTCACACAGATTGCGTTGCAATGATGTGTGTTCTTCAGTACAAAGAGACTAGTTACGTCATTAAGTTTCTTCGTGGTTTGAATGAGAATTTCTCTGGTGTAAGAGCACAAGTCTTGTTTGGAGATGAGCTTTCTAACATCAATTGAGTTTTCAAGGATGCTTCAACATGAAAGGAAACTTTATGGAAACACACTCTGGCAAAACGGTTGCTTCCTTGCAATATGATTTTTCAGCTATGGCACTACAAGATGGCAACAGAAAGGGTAACACGACCAAAAAAACACCATTCTATACCTTCTGCAGAAGAGAGGGCCACACTGAAGATATCTATTTCCAAAAACATGGATGTCCTCCTGGCATGTCCAGACCTTCAGCAGTTCCTACTAGCACAACCATATCTTGCACTTACTGTGGGAGGAGAGGCCACATAGAGGACAAATGCTTGGGGTACCTTGCCAATTTTGTTCTCAGGAATGCCAATTCAGCACATCCAAGGGGCATACCTACAGTTTATATGGCTAGTGTTCCACCACCTACTGATGAAGTCAAACTCACAAGATCTGGTTATGACAAACTAGTGAGCTTGATGAACACACAAAAGGGTCAGTCTTCTTTCTCTACTGCAGCATATGTCACTCCAGCAGGTACCAAATCATCTTCTATTACTTCATTGCCAGCACTGAAAGCTTGTTCAACTCCACATCAAATATGGATTGTTGACACAGGAGCTTCAGACCACATAGTCGGCTACTTAGATTATCTTCAGGACCCCCAAACCCTATCTAATATGTTCAGAACTCTTCCAACTGGTGAACAAATTCAAGCAACCCATTATGGCACAACCATTTGCAGTCCTGATCTGGTTTTATATGATGCATTGTCTATACCCCACTTCACCTTTAATCTTATTTCAGTCAGCAGACTGACTTCCAGAAACTCCTTATGGTTAACCTTTCATCCAACCCTTTGTCTTATACAGGATCTGCAGCAGACGAGAGTGATTGGTTATGCTAGGCTTTCCAATGGTCTTTATTACCTTGAAGCTTCTCTTTTCCCTAAGTTGATTTTTGCAGCATCCACATCCACCTTGGATTTATGACATTTTCGATTAGGGCATGTCTCCCATTCTAAAATTCTCATTCTCATCCAATTTTGTACCTCCATTTCTACACAAAAAGTTCAACCATGTGATGTCTGTCATTTTGCTAAGCAAAAACGAATTTCTTTTCCTTCCAGTCAGTTTGTAACACATTATCCATTTGAACTTCTTTATGTTGATATATGGGGCCCAACTCTATCCCTACTCATGATGGTTTTAAGTACTTCTTGATTGATGTTGATGATTACACAACAATGACTTGGATAATTCTCCTTCACTTTAAATAAGAAGCTATGCCAAAATCAATTGCCTACTGCAATAAAATGGAATGACAATTCAATACAAAAATTAAAACCATAAGAAGTGACCAAGGTAGAGAGTTCCAGATGGATGACTTTTTCTCCTCCACAGGAATCATTCATGAAATGTCTTGTGTTGAAACTCCTCAATAAAACAGTAAGGTTGAGAGGAAGCATCAACATATTCTTACTGTTGCTCGTGCTCTTCAGTTTCAAGCAA